GCCCCTCATAATGGGCACAGCGGGTGTACAGACCCGGGAACCCAGCACAGGGATGGGGGTGGGGGCCCCTCATAATGGGCACAGCAGGGGTACAGACCCGGGAACTCAGCACAGGGATGGTGGGGGCTCCTCATAATGGGCACTGCGGGGGTACAGACCCGGGAACTCAGCACAGGGATGGTGGGGGCCCCTCATAATGGACACAGGGATGGTGGGGGACCCTCATAATGGGCACAGGGATGGTGGGGGCCCCTCATAATGGGCACAGGGATGGTGGGGGCCCCCTCATAATGGGCACAGGGATGGTGGGGGCCCCTCATAATGGGCACAGCGGGTGTACAGACTAGTTGTATGTGAGCAGCTTGTAATGGTGTTCTGTCTTTCTCCAGGTGGACTCTTTGGTACCGGCACATTCAGCCAGCCAGCCGCCTCCTCCACCAGCTCGGCGTTCGGTTTCGGAGCAGCGGCCGGTACAACAAACGCCTTGTTCGGATCGACGAATACCGGAGGAGCAGCAGGGGGAGGGGGAGGTCTCTTCTCATCCCAGAACAATGCCTTTGGACAGACAAAGCCTTCGACTTTTGGCAGTGAGTGACCGATCCCGGCTACACCGGCACTTTACATTTACTGAACAGAGAAGTATGTAACTGGCCATCAGTTATACTAACTAATACATCAAGGAAAGTGATGTGGGTATGATGGAACTCAGGGTTGAATATAATTCCAGAGAAGATGGAATTGAGGAACTCAACAAAAGCCAGGAACGTGTCCCGCTCACCCTGCCAAATGATGAAGATGTCGTCAATGTAGCGGGTCCACAGTTTAACGTGGGCACGGTACAGTGGCGACGGATATATGTACATCTCCTCAAGAAAACCCACAAACAGATTAGCAAAAGATGGTGCAGCTGAACTGCCCATCGCAGTTCCCTTAGTCTGTAGGAACATCTGATGTTCAAACAAAAAGAAGTTATTTTCAAGAATGTACCTTAGACATACTAAGACACACTCTATAGCCATAACATCATACTTAGCGTAGCTTGGTAAGGTCCTTCCCTCATCAAGTCCTCACTCATTGGGTCATGCTTGGGTGGTCTGGTCCTTCACTCATCAAGTCCTCACTCATTGGGTCATGCTTGGGTGGTCTGGTCCTTCCCTCATCAAGTCCTCACACATTGGGTCATGCTTGGGTGGTCTGGTCCTTCCCTCATCAAGTCCGCACTCGTTGGGTCATGTCTAGTAGCTGATCCCCTCTGTAGTCTGCACTCCTTTGGTCATGTCTAGTAGCTGATCCCCTCTGTAGTCTGCACTCCTTTGGTCATGTCTAGGCGGTCCCCTCCCTAGTCCGCACTCGGTGGTTCATGTCTAAGCGGTCCCCTCCTTAGTCCGCACTCATTGGGTCATGTCTAGGCGGTCTACTCCCTAGTCTGCACTCCTTGGGTCATATCTAGGCGGTCCACTCCCTAGTCCGCACTCGTTGTGTTATGTCTAGTCGGTCCACTCCTTAGTCTGCACTCGTTGGGTCATGTCTAGGTGGTTCCCTCCCTAGTCTGCACTCGTTGGGTCATGTCTAGGTGGTTCCCTCCCTAGTCAGCACTCGTTGGGTCATGTCTAGGCAGTCTGCACTCGTTGGGTCATGTGTAGGCGGTCCCCTCCGTAGTCCGCACTCCTTGGGTCATATCTAGGCGGTCCCCTCCCTAGTCCGCACTTGTTGGGTCATGTGTAGGCGGTCCCCTCCGTAGTCCGCACTCGTTGGGTCATGTGTAGGCGGTCCCCTCCCTAGTCCGCACTCGTTGGGTCATGTCTAGGTGGTCTGGTCCTCATCTTGGCTCCCAGATACATTGATGTTGGGTGTTGCGGTCTATAGAGTCCCGCCTACATTGAATCGTCTGAGCTTTTCTTGTTGCGGACTTTGTGTTTCACATTAAATTGTCCGTGTTTTACCCGAAGTCCGGCGCTTCAGCACAGGGATGGTGGGAGCTCCTCATAATGGGCACAGCGGGTGTACAGACCCGGGAACCCAGCACAGGGATGGGGGTGGGGGCCCCTCATAATGGGCACAGCAGGGGTACAGACCCGGGAACTCAGCACAGGGATGGTGGGGGCTCCTCATAATGGGCACTGCGGGGGTACAGACCCGGGAACTCAGCACAGGGATGGTGGGGGCCCCTCATAATGGACACAGGGATGGTGGGGGACCCTCATAATGAGCACAGGGATGGTGGGGGCCCCTCATAATGGGCACAGGGATGGTGGGGGCCCCCTCATAATGGGCACAGGGATGGTGGGGGCCCCTCATAATGGGCACAGCGGGTGTACAGACTAGTTGTATGTGAGCAGCTTGTAATGGTGTTCTGTCTTTCTCCAGGTGGACTCTTTGGTACCGGCACATTCAGCCAGCCAGCCGCCTCCTCCACCAGCTCGGCGTTCGGTTTCGGAGCAGCGGCCGGTACAACAAACGCCTTGTTCGGATCGACGAATACCGGAGGAGCAGCAGGGGGAGGGGGAGGTCTCTTCTCATCCCAGAACAATGCCTTTGGACAGACAAAGCCTTCGACTTTTGGCAGTGAGTGACCGATCCCGGCTACACCGGCACTTTACATACATAGTACACGCCCCTTGCCCCACACACTGAGCAGTCAGTATCCATGGCCAGCACTCCGATGGTACTGAAACTATAAATCCCCCCCATACGATCATCACTCACTGGGTCATGTTCTCTTGGTCTGGTCCTCCTATTGGCTTGTGGACAGTTATAATATGGAATGGAACTGGAACCTCTCCCTTAGATTTCTCACTCTTTGGATCATCCGTGTGGTCTGGTCCTTCCCTCAAGTCCTCACTCATTGGGTCATGCTTGGTTGGTCTGGTCCTTCCCTCAAGTCCTCACTCATTGGGTCATGCTTGGTTTGGTCCGGTCCTTCCCTCATCAAGTCCTCACTCATTGGGTCATGCTTGGGTGGTCTGGTCCTTCCCTCATCAAGTCCGCACTCGTTGGGTCATGTCTAGTAGCTGATCCCCTCTGTAGTCTGCACTCCTTTGGTCATGTCTAGTAGCTGATCCCCTCTGTAGTCTGCACTCCTTTGGTCATGTCTAGGCGGTCCCCTCCCTAGTCCGCACTCGGTGGTTCATGTCTAAGCGGTCCCCTCCTTAGTCCGCACTCATTGGGTCATGTCTAGGCGGTCTACTCCCTAGTCTGCACTCCTTGGGTCATATCTAGGCGGTCCACTCCCTAGTCCGCACTCGTTGTGTTATGTCTAGTCGGTCCACTCCTTAGTCTGCACTCGTTGGGTCATGTCTAGGTGGTTCCCTCCCTAGTCTGCACTCGTTTGTCTAAGCGGTCCCCTCCTTAGTCCGCACTCATTGGGTCATGTCTAGGCGGTCTACTCCCTAGTCTGCACTCCTTGGGTCATATCTAGGCGGTCCACTCCCTAGTCCGCACTCGTTGTGTTATGTCTAGTCGGTCCCCTCCCTAGTCTGCACTCGTTGGGTCATGTCTAGGTGGTTCCCTCCCTAGTCTGCACTCGTTGGGTCATGTCTAGGTGGTTCCCTCCCTAGTCAGCACTCGTTGGGTCATGTCTAGGCAGTCTGCACTCGTTGGGTCATGTGTAGGCGGTCCCCTCCGTAGTCCGCACTCCTTGGGTCATATCTAGGCGGTCCCCTCCCTAGTCCGCACTTGTTGGGTCATGTGTAGGCGGTCCCCTCCGTAGTCCGCACTCGTTGGGTCATGTGTAGGCGGTCCCCTCCCTAGTCCGCACTCGTTGGGTCATGTCTAGGTGGTCTGGTCCTCATCTTGGCTCCCAGATACATTGATGTTGGGTGTTGCGGTCTATAGAGTCCCGCCTACATTGAATCGTCTGAGCTTTTCTTGTTGCGGACTTTGTGTTTCACATTAAATTGTCCGTGTTTTACCCGAAGTCCGGCGCTAGGCGCGTGACCGCCCGGCGCTAGGCGCGTGA